TCTCATTCATTCTGTCATTTACTCATCCATTATTTTTCGATTATTCCTTTAGTCATGGGCTTACGCATTTGCTGAATTTCTCATTAACCGTTTAAATTATTAAGTGATGAATAAACGATTGCTTTCTTGACCCCTTACCACTCCCCTCCGTCTCCTTTCTTTCCCTTTCAGCCCATTTTTGTCACTCTTACATGCTTTGATATATGAACGTCTAGTTTATTATTACCTGAGCAGCATGTCTCATGGCATCAAATGTCAAGAAATCGTTTTCTCTAATGTTAAACTGATCTCGTAGATACTCCAAGCGGGCCTGTGTTTGMATAAATGCATATATTTTTCAAATTAATAATAAGCAATTAAAAAAGCTAGAATAGGAGATTTGCGAATTTTGCTTCAGTAGTCAAACATAAAAGAATCAAGACGAGGTGCCGTGCGTAAAACTCAGTCAATCGTGAAAAACTATTGTCTTCCCACGAATAACTGAGCTTCATGCACGGCGCCTCGTCTTGATTCCTTTGTGTGCGACTACTGAGGCAAAACTAGCAAGTCGGTTATTCTGATGTAGACCTTTCAGGGAGTTAYCAGCCACATCAGCCTGAAAAATTATTGATATCTTATTCAGTCTCAACCAATAACTCTAAATTTAAGACACTCCTATMACTTTTGCTAAGCCTAGTCACCAGGAACTCTTTGGACGTGACGTCACATCGTTAAATGGAGGATGAAAAAGCCTAGGGACTGGGCTGAGTTTTACCTTTAAGATTCTGCTTTGAGTGTAAACGTACGGGATACCAAACATAATGACAGCACGACCAAAATGGTGATCTAAACAAGAAATATAAATAATACGATGTTTAGTTCAAAACATGTTCAAACAACTGCTATAACAGGAAATTTTTGAAAGCCAAAAATACTCCGTTTTCGATTTAAGTATTGAATAATTTGTAGCGCGAGTTTTGAATTGTGCGCGTTGTTTKTTTCAATCCTTGTTATAAAACTCACCAAAATCGATTCCCTCAGAAACCTTTCCACGTGCAACAGATAACAGAATGGCACCTCGTCCATTTTCACACGCCTAGATTTATTATACAGAAATACCAGTAATGAATATGCGGCAATGAATATGGTTCCCATTCTTGCTCCATGCCTCCCTCCCCAGTCACCTTAGCGTTGCCAAGTTAAGAGGGTGAAATTGTATGTTGCAGACTAAGTAATCACCAAGAGCAAATCACCTTTTGATAGTTAAACAAAGCAAGACTCGTCTCTGCAGCATCTGTTGTCTCGATGAATAACAGCTTGTTTTTCTGGATGTTGCTAATTATTCCCTGTGTATCACAAGAACGATCATCAGAACTGTTTTAAATTGGTGATGACGATGGTGATTGGGAGGTGGTGATGATGATGATAATAAGAATGATTGTGTTGAGTAACAGGATTTGTGACTTATAATAAGCTGGTTCAGCTATCATTAACAATACATTGAGTCGTCAACGTTTACTGAGTATATTTACTGAGTATATTTGCCCTCAGTGTAACTTCGCGCCTCGTAGATAAAAAAAATCCACATTATCATTACCTGGTCATGCCAAGTTGACACCACTGCTTCCTGGAATAGAATACCAACACGTTACAAACAAAACCCATCAAGTAATTACTTACAGTAAAGATATACAAAACAGTTACCATGTACTGATAGCTTGTAAAGAAACAAACGATCCCATCAGGCACTACGGCYGACATCTCGGCTAATAGGTTACCATAGTTACGAATGACCGCTGAAATAAAGGACATAGATTACTTGAGTTTCAGACTAGTACCCAGGCGTTGTTTCTTGTGAGTGCGACCCAAACCATTTCAGTAGAGGTGATCTGAGAACAACTTAATAATTAACATACCAATGTCTTCACGAGTTTCAAACTTCGTTGTCATAGCAACCTGATCACTCCCTCGGCTAACGATCTAAAAACAGGTTAAAAAAMCACATTTGTGTTTTGGTTTCTATAACATGAATAAGAGGCAGTTTGACTACTGACCATTGGACAAAGGCAGGTTCGAGCTAGTGTCATGGTGAAGGTTGACATGGTAACGGGCCGAAAGTCAAGTATCTTGGGATACATATCGATTGGCGATAACGTCTGAAAAAAAAGAAGGAACTTATCTTCTAGTTTATTAACGGGCCACTGCTTGTTCAGTTAGCTAGCGTACACATCGTATAAARATGAGGTGCTTCCGACAGCGTTCCGATGCGCACTTATATTTTTGCTCCAAACAACTACATTGTCAGTTTTCATTCGTGCGCCCGCGACATTTTTGAAAGCGTCCGGAAATGGCCTATTCTTACCCCTGAAGTGATGACCACGGATTGGAATCGATCAAAGACTGGTTTAATTGCTACAGATGCATCCATACAACTGAAAATAAGAATAATAATTTACTATCAGCAGTATCCATCCAACTTTTTATGAACGGCTATTTTTCATTAATACCCCCCCCCCCCCCCCAAAAAAAATCAATGCCCTTCTCYAATCTCCTTAGGGCCTCGACAAAGGTTACCAATTTGCTTTTTTGAAGGGGATTTGAAGATCCTACCAATGTGTAGCAATAAGAATACAAACTGAAGTGTGCTAGATCATAACACACGATACTGCTGACTAATCACACTCAACGCAATTTTCATTATCGAAGTGAAAAAATATGATGCGTTTTGACGTTTTTTGAATGTTGTGACTCTTGGGCGCAATGGACTGTGCAAGAAAACGCATTTTTCATCCTTCTAACTAAGTAGAATATACGTAGAAAGCAAGTGTAACTCTAACTAACAAACAAGTTACCTGAATCGTAGGATAGGATTAGGAATAGTAGGAGTTCTATCATCAAACGGTTCGATTATTAAATTAAAACCTGTGGAAAAAAAATGGACACTTCAAAAATATATTCAAAATGAAATATAGACGTTTACTAAATATTACAAGATTACCTTTGTTATAAGTGCTAACCAATGTAGCAAAGTTTGCAATTAGAGTAAGCGGACCGTAGTCTTGTGCCCCTGGTATTTCTAGTGTATGTAGTAAGGAACTTAGACGTTCGGCRCAGAATCTAGGAACGAAAAAAAACCCGTTTACATAACAAGCGTTATCATTGGCTAGTATTGCAACAGGATCATTGGCTGAATATTACAAAGTAACAAAGAAACAATGAACAATATAACACGCCCTCTCATTTGTCGATATCGTAACATTACGGCGATCYATCATTGCGGGTCAAATCATTACTCGTGTACTGCACAATCGGATACTAACCCGACAACGACAGCTAATTATTATTAGTCTGGTAGATTAGTGGAAAAGTTAATAAATTCAGTCAYTGTAGATACCTCAGTGGTTTCCTCTCTATGCAGACTTGCTGGTAGATGTGTTGGAGAAACGACTGCGGGCTTTCTTGAACAACATGTTGAATACGTAGCCTAGTCTGATGAATCCAAAAAATATGTCATGAACAACTGTCAACACGAATAAACGAYGATAAAAACCGAAGCAATGCCGAAGCAAGAACGATCTACCAACCAACAACACGAGTTAACGACAAACGGCGGACCAACCGAAAGTGTGTGCACAAAMAAACAAATTAAAACAAAACCTAAAACAACCAAAGAAAAACAACGAGAACATGCAAGAATATTATAGAGAACAAACAGAAAAKATTGACTGGGGAAACCTTTAAGTATTCTATAAATCTTCTCATAAATCCCACAAAGTGCTCTGCTTTTCTAATRTTTCCAGGGACCGCCTCTGAAAAATAAAAAGCAAAAACACAATCATAAGATTTTCMCTATAACATTAAAAAGCCCAAACGAACACAACATACCCTCCAAGACTTCGTCAGGTAAAACTGAGGCAAAAACGAAAAGTGATTATTAGTAAATCGGTGATATATCAATAATCAATGATACAATGAGTGCTTTTGTCGTATTTTTGAGTTAGTTTGTCATCAGTATAGTGCAATATCGTGTAGATTAGACAATAGAAAACAAAAGAAATTCGTGACTGTTAYGAATTTAAGGACGAAACTCCATCACTGACACTATTCCTATTATTTAGCTGCATACGTTGGACAGACAAAAAAACTGAGATGGAAACCTCGTCACTCTCTAGATTCATACCAAGCTAGTTTTCCGTCTTTGATATATGAAAGTAAAGAATGATAAAATAATAGTCACCAACCTGGATTGGCAAGAACAATATCTGTATCTCTKGCCTCGCTTGCTTGTCTCAAACCTGTAGATACAAAAAGCTTAAAAAATTAAACTTCATCTGCTTTCTTAGCCCTTGTTCTCGTCGGACATTTTTGTATGCGTGTTCACTCGTGCCTTTATTCAGAGCGCTTTCAGAAAGGTTTCACACGTATCCGGATATTATCGAAACTGCAAATTTTTATTTGTGTTTACACGAAATTGATCATCGTTTTCAAAGGCCCATGTGCATCCAAGAGAACTTTCAACGCGAGACCATAAAAACAAAATAAACGATGCACTGTCTCTCAAATGCACTTGTGTCTTTAGAGCGTGACGAGAAAAGCCCAATACCTTCGACTAGTCTGTTGTACTCCTCTCGTAGTTTTTGAGCATCTGTTTCTTTGATACTATAAAATTGATTTAGACCAAGGAACTTAGTTTTCTATTAAATTCAAGGAGTTTATAATAAGATATAAGGTATATGTATAAATGGTTCACTGAAAAAAATGTGCGGAAGAATCGAATTACTCAGTCACAAGAATTAAGAAAAAAAAATCTTAGAAAGAGTTTGTAAGAAGAAAATATATGTAAAAAAAGAAAAAGAAAAAGAAAAAAAAAATTACTTCCTCTCCCCGGCGGGGAATCGAACCCCGGTCTCCCGCGTGACAGGCGGGGATACTCACCACTATACTACCGAGGAAGTTATACTACGTTCTGGCCAAAATTGATGATTGGTTACAAGTATGACAACTAGTTTCTAGTTTTAATGATGTAAATTATTAATAATTATTAACAACAACAACAACAACAAAAAAAAAACATAAAGAATTATTATTATATTGCAATAACAAACATATATTGTTAAATATGAGTAGTAAAAATAGTCAATTTACAGAGTGGAAACAAATCTGAGTTCTTTTTACTTACTTTCTGATAACTCCTGCCAAAGATTCAACATTAGAATGGCTTTTATCTAATGTTCTTCTTGTAATTGATACGCTCATCGAGTCTATGCATACATTATCTGTGAACATTAAAATAGCGTTTGATGATAAAGTAATGCAAGCCATCAGGAAATAATAAGTCAGAGGAAAGTGTTAACAGAAATAATTTTCAGAAGAGGTCATTCTAGTGAATTGCAGCAATATTTATGTTGGGCTCCCTGTCCTGAGAGGAGACTGAGGTAGCCTGGGATAAAAAGATGTATATTTAGACCTATTTTATTACCTATGTTATGCGCTTCATCAAATACAACAACTGATGTTTTATCAAGCTCTTTGGACACCAGATCTGCAATCTTAGGATCCAGTAAGTAATGATAACTGTAGACTACAATATTAGCATGATAAATCTGAAAAATAAACAATAATAAATTATAACCAAAATGACATAATAGTGGTTGAAGAAAAAACAAGAAATAAATAATATGGATAAAAAAGTATATGGACGGATACTGAAAAAAAGGTTATTGAAAAAAAAAATGAATTGTGAATGGATGTAGAAATGAATGAATACATGAATAACAAATTAATGAATGGACAAGAAAATGAAAGAAAAAATAAATTAATGGTAATGGTTAAATGAATGGATGAATGAATGAATGGATGCTGAAATGAAAGAATAATTGAATTGAGAACCAAAACATGAAGGGTAGTTAGTCAAAGAAATAATCTTCACCAAGGGCAGATACTAATACAAGTACTTACAGCATATCTAGCCACAAAATAAGGACACCATTTTTTCTTCTCTCCAAAGACTCTCAAATCATCCTGAATATTAGATCAATTTGWTTATTACAATCCATGTGTAGACAAACAGGTAAATTCTGTTGATTGAATATTCTGGTAAAATCCATTTTTTATTTTCTTACTAAGTTATATATTCCAGCTGGTATCTTCTCTTCTCTTCCAAAACTATCAAAGTTCTAAAAATTGACATTTTAAATCAATACACTTTGATATTACATATATAATAATATATTAATGCATGTATATTAATATAATTGACACATGGAAATGGAATGTCTTTATTTTTACCTCATAGTAGGCGCAAACAGGAACCGAAGGGTTTTCTTTATGTCTTGCTCTAACAAAAGATGCTGTCAAATTGAGACACTTTCCATCAACTTTCTTTCCTTCTCTTTCCTCAATAACCTGAAAACCAAAGTAATAATATCAACACAGTCCAATAGAGAAAGAGAAATAACTTCCTTATGGTTCTGATTCAGACAGTTAAATTCCTTTTGGTGATGCGCAAATTTACCGTAGGGTTGATGCAGAGGTTTTTTCGTGAGCTCAGAGCCAAACCTAATATCTTAGGTCTTTGRCCTGTCTCTTTCTCGTAGTACTCCACAAGAACTTTAAGCTCTTCCAGCACCTAGAAAATAATAGAAAAGTTTTGAATGACGTTAAAATGAGCTCTGATTTGAATGACATTATCATGGAAGTATTTGTGAATTAGTTGATTAATGATAATGATTGAAAATTGAATGATAATGAATGATAATGATAATGACGAATAAAATAATGATTTACCTTCTCAATCTCCGGCACTGTTCTTGAGCAATATATCAATTTTGTTAATTCCAGGGGTTTTGCCTGATTACAATAAAAATTATATAATAATATTAGCTCATTTGCAGTTTAACAAAGAATCATATCAATGATTGGATMACTTACAATCAAATAAGCAACAATCAGAGACAATAATGACACTGTTTTTCCTGTGCCTGACGGCATTTCAAGTAGACARTGACCCTGAAGAAGAAAAYCATTTAGATTCAGTATGTGACAAAGACTTGGGCATKGAGAATACATTGTGTTGYTTATAGTGAAAGGGKTAGATATGAGTGGGGTGGGTGGGGGAATGTGGAGCAGAAAGGACTGGACATGCCAAGATCACTGTGAATTAAGAAAACGCTCCATTGTAATTAGTTTCCAGCAGAATCTTGAAAAATACTAGTCTAGCCTTTACATCGACGCAAGACAGCAGTTGAGCTTGCTATGATAGATGTACATGCCAATAATTGTCTATGATKTGAGCAAGAGATATCTATCACACTCCTGTCTTGCTTTGGTGCAAAGGTTAGAAAACATGAAAATGACAAAAATAAATSTTKGAAAGAAAAGAAAAGCTTCTCCCATACCTTAGCATCAAGCGTCCTTTTCAACTCATGCATGTACGAATACTGCTCAGGATATATGTAGTCGTAGGGAAAATATACCAGCAATCCGTCAATATTCAGCCTGGAAATTATACATGCTTACTAAATTTCACCATTTCCGCAGGTTGTACAAAAACACATTAAGTTATCTTATATATTATTCACAATTTTCTACACCAAAAACACAATAACATTAGTSAATGATATTTTGATATAAGAAAAAAAGTCTTACTTCATTTTTAAGCTGCGTTTTTCAAGTTAAACAAGATCTGAATGTTACTTTTTGGTGTTTYGTACGAAGATTCACACTTTTTCCAACTCGTCCGCCATGTTGTTTTKCCTGTACGCGCGGGACCGAGAACTAACTAAATGGATTACCTGTGTTATTTTCGTTTCTCCTGGTTACCACTCGAGGAACGCCTGGAGTTTTCTGCAGTTGACAGATGGAATGATTCATTCCGATTTTCTAGTGTTCTGTTGTTTTACATGTAACTGCTTTGTCGTGTTCTTCTCTTCATCTCCTTGTCTTCATAACGCTCTTTCAAAATGTACAGAGAAATTTTCATGATCCCTTTTGTAGCAGGCTGTATTTTATTTAGCGTCGAGGCAGGTAAGTTTGGTTTCGTTTGTCGAGTTCTTTGAGCATTATTTTGTTCGCTCACTTTGGAATAAACTAAAGTAAAGTAAACTGATTTTTCTTCTATCGTTGCTTTACAATATCACTGCATTTTGATGTGATAATGTTCATTATAAATCGAGAAACGCATAAGGAAAATGCTTTTGTTTACTTCGAGGTGCAGCGGAGTTTTGTGCGAGAATTATTTCGCAATCAATAATTCTAGTTGATGTATAGTTTTTTTCTGTAAGCAAAATAGTTTGTRCAGTTTAGCCGACAAGAAGAGATAACCACAGTGTTAATAATCTTAAGTCTCTTCAGCAGTTCAAAATTACTTGTAAATGTTGTACAAAGGACTGTTTCACACCTGGGCTAGCGATAATACTGCAGTACAAGAGCGACAATATATGTAAAGAGACTCCATTTTAGATAACTCTAAAATGAAATCTTAAATTATTAATCAGAATTCTTTCCATCWTAGAATTTTTATGTCCTGAAACATAAGAATATTTGACATGTTGCAATACATATATAAAATTCATTGAAATTACATTGTATTGAGCAATATCACATAAAAACCTAACCTTGGTGGGATATAATTGGAAATAAAATATTCTTAGCCTGCTTTTTTTTAAGTTAATCCAAAGTCTTAAAGTGGACCAAAAGTACCAAATTGCTTACTAGTAAACAATGAATGAACATTCTCAGTTGATATCATTCACAGTTTCTTCTCTGGCCTTTTTCAGCATCAAGGAAATATGAACAAATGAAATTAGAAAAAAACTTTTTTCACATTCCTTCTCATAAACTTTCCTTAGTGCAGCAAAATAAAAAAAGTAGCATCTAGAAAAATTGAAGATAGGTTTGGTATTTTGTAGTTCAAATATATATTAATCAAATACTCTCTAATGATAATTGTTTAGTTGGTGGAGGCTGTGAAGATCACCATCCCAAGTGTATGCAGTGGGCAGCTAAAGGAGAGTGTGACAAGAACCCACAATGGATGCTACGACACTGTAGAATGAGCTGTGGACAATGTTCAATGGGTGAGATATAACGCCATAATGAATGCCTCCTCTACCACAGGTAGCCCAAGCTATGCATTTGAACCGTTTTTAGCAATTTTGCAAAATATGTTAAGTTAATAAAAAATAAGCATCCCTRCCTGTTTATTGTGGTTTTCTTTGTATGCCTGTGAAGTTTCAGGCCATTTTGAGCCATTTAGAGCCATTTCTATGCATAGCTTGAACTACCTGTGCCTCTACAGGCATAACTATGATTGCATGGTCTCGGGTCTCCTATATATAAAACTATGCTTTCCCAGTCCTCTCGCTATCATGAAAGCCAACTACAAAGGAAGCCCAAAAGAACTAAATAAGAGGAGCATCTTGGCTACCTGTGGACGACTTATAAGCAGACATGCTGACAGTGGACACATTTTAGCACCATCTGAACATCTAGATTACTGCCCCAAAATATGTAAGATTTAGTAGATTGCCAAGTATAATTCCTTATATTTTTGTTTTTGATATTTTCAGCTAATATACATGAGCTTGTCAATCATGCTAACTTTGAAATAAGACGCTCATTTAACGTTTTTGTGGGAATATTTGGAACTCTACTTGTAGCCCTGTTCATCAAGATGTCATTTTATGGTGCAAGCTGTGAAAGTACTGCTAAACTTGAAGGTATATTTTACCACTATTTTACCATATAATTTACAGATAATTTATCATGATTATTTTACAAGTTGATGTGCTAACAGACTAGTACCCAGTCATTATGCTTTTTTTTCGATACGCTAGAAATCGCTTTTCCTTCATGAATTGCGCWCTGCTWGAGAAAARCGGCTGGGTATATACTTCTGAGGTGCTAAATTGTTAGAGTTTCCTTCATTGGTACCTGCACCATCTTGAATGGTAGCCACATCTTTACTGCCATCAAGCGAGAGGAATAATTGAATGAATATATGTCTGTAGATATGAAAGGTTTTTATTTATGGTTAATGTCTCACTTCGATGCAAAGACACAGCTACATTTGCAGGGACATGTGAAGGAAAACATCATGCCCAATAGATGAGATTCCTATCTTTTTCTTTTTCTGGATATTAAAATACCCATCCCTTGTTTTGGAAGGGTTTGTCATCTGGTAACATTTTGACTGACAATTTGCGTTTTTGGGGCTAGAGGGAATTTACAACTTTCCATACCCAGGTTCAACGACCACGAACAAAGCATTAAAACGAGGTGTCAGGGTACAGTGAGCATAAAAGAAAAGATCTGTGATCAGTGTTCCTTGACTCCTCGGTTCCTGGTCGCTGAACCAGGTTATGAAAGTCGTGAATGAAATTTCGGGTAGTGTTTCTTAGATTGTTAAATTGAATTCAATGTTTTTGTCAGTTGGTTGAGGCAATGGAGTATGCATGGCGTTGTTGTTGTGCCTGCAGTCTTTTCCTTCAACATTGAAAAGGGATTCTTGTTTTATGATTGGATTATTATTATAATAACTTTCCATTTTCATTCCAGGCAAAACCGTCATTATAACTGGTGGTAACACAGGAATTGGTAAAGAAACAGCCAGAGACTTAGCGTGGCGTAAAGCTCGAGTAATCCTGGCTTGCAGAGATGTCTCTAAAGGAATTGAAGCAGCCGCAGAGATCATGGAAAGCACTGGAAACGARAACGTCGAGGTTAAAAAGCTTGACTTGGCAAGTTTCAAGTCARTCAGAACATTTGCTGAAGAAGTTCTTCAGGAAGAAGAGAAAGTCAACATTCTTATTAACAATGCTGGCTACTTAGGATCGTATGCAAAGACGAAGGATAGCTTGGAAAACAATTTTCAAGTGAATTATCTTGGCCATTTCTTACTCACTAATCTATTATTGGACAAGATAAAGGCATCTAGTCCAGGCAGGATTATCAATGTATCATCTGTGCAGCACAGATTTGGTAAAATTAACTTTGATAATCTTCAAGCAGAGAAGTCTTATGGGAGRTTCACTGCTTATAATCAAAGTAAACTCGCTCTAGTCATGTTTACYAGACAGTTGGCTGAGAAATTAAGAGGTAAATTGGAGTWATAGCTAGAAARCGAGTATCWTTTTAAAGGTTGTCTAGCGTTGTKCTTCGGCTCTTTTGTGTGCGTTTTTCTTGTTAGCCACTCAGTTTTATCATAAGAAACTTGCAAGAGGCATAAAAGGAGACGCAAGCATAGCGCAGGGATAACTTGGAAATATATGGATGAAAGTACTGTCGCTACCTTTTTGCGAAAAAACCAGACTTTTCTTTGGTGTGATTTTTCACTTACGGTTTAATAAAACCCACAACTGGAAAATCAACGTAAGGAGTTGAAGCCATTTCCTGCATCGGGTTTTTGTCCCCCCCTTCCCCTCCCCCCAGAAAAAAATTAAAACACAGGCTGCGAAGGAGGCTACGCAAGCCGAGCCATACACCCATGAGAAACAGGGAAGACACAGGTGCAATTGTTGAACATCCGACGCAGTAAAACTGTACTCTTTATTTAAGTSATTGCGCTTGCGTCGTGACTGCATATGTTCAAGAAAGACTTACAAGCGAACTAGAAAAATYGTCTGAAAAAAAGGCATGTTTATATGAATCACGAATTTTCTTATTTGTTTTCAGGAACAAATGTCACAGTCAATGCCCTGCATCCCGGTGTTGTATCAACAGAAATATTCCGTGACTTTTTCGTCTATCGAATGTGGATCTTTCGACCACTTCTTTCCATAGTTTGTTACTTCTTTTTYAAGACAACAATCCAAGGAGCACAAACTACAATTCACTGTGCCGTTACTCCTGAGTTAGAGCATATTACTGGGCAGTACTTCAAAGAATGCCAGGAGGACTCTTGTGGAGAAAATGCTAAGGATGACGGCGTAGCAAAGAAACTTTGGGAAGTCAGTGAAAGGCTTTGTGGCTTATGTACAGAACACTAAGATGCTATTCAAATAACATTTAGGTTAATTGGGGCTCACCAAGATGTTAGAGACTGTGAAGCCAAGCCCTTAATTTTGACATTTGATATAGAAACGGAGATTTTTACAGTCAAAAGACATAAGCGCACTCCCTCAAAACACCATTATCCATTCTTGGTCGATTCAACATTACATTATTGAAATCAAATTGGAATTCAAACTTCGAAATTTGATTGGATTGTTGATCGGATTTTCATAAAGCCTTCTTCGTATTTCGCTTGTAAACATGCTGGTCTTTTGTAATTTCCACAAGTCGATGCATTGCAATATGCCGTCTGTTACAATTTGGTTGGATCTGTTCCTTCTCGTGAGAAAGGAATGACGGTCTCAAAAAGCTGGAAATGCTGTGTTGTTTTCTGTCATTATCAGAGTTCGAGATTTGAATTTAATTTTTCATTAATCAACTGAAATTTGAAAACGAGAAATAAAACGAAGAATTCAATAACGAACTATTCGAGGGGAGGGGGAGGGGGAGAGGGGGTGGGCGCTCCTTGTCTTTTGACTGTAAAAGGCTCGTTGCTCGGGTATGATGGTCGATGTGTGGTTACACTGAAGAATTGTGGCTCGAACAGATCAAAGTATGTCATAGTTTTTAATGGAACGTGCATGAAACTGGAATATTTACTGCATATAGCTTGGAAATATTTGGGAATCTGTAAAAAAATGTTAATCAAAGAAAGACTTTATTATATCAAAAGGTTTTATCAAAATATGAAGATTTTATGATTTCTTTTAGTGCGAACTTAATGTAATGATATAAAATTTGTTTAGAATGTGAATGCGACAGATTTTAGCTAAATTGCGAAAATAAGAAATTCTTTATTAGTGCAAGTAATATTTATTGCAAACATACGTTTAGGAAAATAATAATAAACAATACATTCACAAATCATGTACGCAACTCTAAACTAAGAGTTAAGCTCAATAATATGTGGTTTT